GGATGAGGAGAGAGGGCCCAGCCGCCCACCTGACCCTCCGCAGGCCAGGGAGGTCCCGGGTGTGAAGGTCTTCCGCTCCTCGGCCACTGTGTACTTTGCCAATGCTGACCTGTACAGCGACGCGCTGAAGCAGAGGGTGAGGCTGGGGTCGGGGCCAGGTCAGAGGGGCCTCGCCTCCCGGGCGCCCACCCCCCTCCTGGGCGCCCACCCCCTCCCGGGCGCCCCCGCCCCAACCTTCGCCCACCCCCCTCCCGGGCGCCCCCGCCCCAACCTTCGCCCACCCCCCTCCCGGGCGCCCCCGCCCCAACCTTCGCCCACCCCCCTCCCGGGCGCCCCCGCCCCAACCTTCGCCCACCCCCCTCCCGGGCGCCCCCGCCCCAACCTTCGCCCACCCCCCTCCCGGGCGCCCCCGCCCCAACCTTCGCCCACCCCCCTCCCGGGCGCCCCCGCCCCAACCTTCGCCCACCCCCCTCCCGGGCGCCCCCGCCCCAACCTTCGCCCACCCCCCTCCCGGGCGCCCCCGCCCCAACCTTCGCCCACCCCCCTCCCGGGCGCCCCCGCCCCAACCTTCGCCCACCCCCCTCCCGGGCGCCCCCGCCCCAACCTTCGCCCACCCCCCTCCCGGGCGCCCCCGCCCCAACCTTCGCCCACCCCCCTCCCGGGCGCCCCCGCCCCAACCTTCGCCCACCCCCCTCCCGGGCGCCCCCGCCCCAACCTTCGCCCACCCCCCTCCCGGGCGCCCCCGCCCCAACCTTCGCCCACCCCCCTCCCGGGCGCCCCCGCCCCAACCTTCGCCCACCCCCCTCCCGGGCGCCCCCGCCCCAACCTTCGCCCACCCCCCTCCCGGGCGCCCCCGCCCCAACCTTCGCCCACCCCCCTCCCGGGCGCCCCCGCCCCAACCTTCGCCCACCCCCCTCCCGGGCGCCCCCGCCCCAACCTTCGCCCACCCCCCTCCCGGGCGCCCCCGCCCCAACCTTCGCCCACCCCCCTCCCGGGCGCCCCCGCCCCAACCTTCGCCCACCCCCCTCCCGGGCGCCCCCGCCCCAACCTTCGCCCACCCCCCTCCCGGGCGCCCCCGCCCCAACCTTCGCCCACCCCCCTCCCGGGCGCCCCCGCCCCAACCTTCGCCCACCCCCCTCCCGGGCGCCCCCGCCCCAACCTTCGCCCACCCCCCTCCCGGGCGCCCCCGCCCCAACCTTCGCCCACCCCCCTCCCGGGCGCCCCCGCCCCAACCTTCGCCCACCCCCCTCCCGGGCGCCCCCGCCCCAACCTTCGCCCACCCCCCTCCCGGGCGCCCCCGCCCCAACCTTCGCCCACCCCCCTCCCGGGCGCCCCCGCCCCAACCTTCGCCCACCCCCCTCCCGGGCGCCCCCGCCCCAACCTTCGCCCACCCCCCTCCCGGGCGCCCCCGCCCCAACCTTCGCCCACCCCCCTCCCGGGCGCCCGCACCCCAACCTTCGCCCCTAGTGCGGCCTTCGCCCCTAGTGCGGCGTGGATGTGGACCACCTCATCTCCCGGAAGAAGAAGCTGCTCCGGAAGCAGGAGCTGAAGCTGAAGCGCCTGCGGAAAAAGGCCCAGAAACAGGCAGGGACCGCGACCAGCCCCAGCCCCCAGCCCGGCACCTGCCTGACCCCCTCTTCCCTGACCCCTGACCCCTGACTCCTGCTCCTCACTCCCCCCCCGGGGGCTGTTCCCCACCTCTGAGCCCCTGGCAGCAGAGCCCCCAGCCCTCTCCATCGGGTCATCCCTGGGCTGGTAGAACCCCGCCTCCCACCTGGCCTTGGCCCCCGAGCTCGGTTCCTGGCCCGCCTCCCGCCCGGAGCCAGGGGCAACGCCAGGCTGCGGCCAGCTGCTGGATGGCTCTCCTGTCCCCTGCCCGTCCCAGGCCGCTGCCTCCACGGGCAC